ATGACTGACTAGCTGCCTTTCCTGTAGTCTTTCACTGCTAAATCAGGATGGCTGGTGCAGATAGCCCTTGTGTAGCTTTTTGCAAAATTCAAAACAAATAAACCAATCTTTTGAAAAATTTCTTTCAAATAACCAAACTTACTAATTGTGTTATAAAACAGTCCAGTGTCTATAGTAACCTTTGAATTGATTTTATATCTAAACTATATTGGAGGCAAGATATTGTTGCACATTGTGTATATGTTCAATGCCTTTTTAGGTATGGATCTGGTGGCTTTGGTGGCCGGGACTTCAGACAGTTTAATACTCGTGACCCACGTGGAGGAGGTGGAGCTCGAAACCTGATGACTAACAGCTTCCAGTCTCCAAGTTATGGATATGGAGCCAACCAATTTGTCAGCACATATAATCGTGGCAATTATGGTGGAAATTATGGCTCTGGAACAGATTGGTGGGGAAACTAGTTTTTTTGCTTCTGGCAACAGCATGTTAGTTTCATTGTATGAAATGGAGTTTCTAGCTACCACATTGTAGAATAAATTTGAAACAGGTTTCTGTGAAATAGGGAAAGCACAGTTTCTATATACAACTAGAATGTCCTGGGCTCTGGTGGTTGTCAGAGTCTACTGTTTAGCACAAACTTTTCTCAAGGTTAACCAACAGTTGTATATTATTTATGTATGCTATTTATTGACACTAATTCTGTTAATAATGTTATGTCATTGCCTACAGTGTATCACAGTGAGAATGACCGAGTAGCAGAATTGTAATTCACTGTGTGGCTTTTCCTGCCTTTAGGTTGTATTAAATATCACATTTTGTGTAGTATGAAAGATGTTAGGCTATTTTTAAAGTGCCTAACTGAAGTAAGATGTGTTAAGAGATTGGTTTCAATGAGAACCTGTTTTTTTTACTCTAGTAGTTTGTGTCATCATACAACAGATGTTGCTGTTGCCAGTATTAAAACTTTTGTTTTTGCTATTTTTGATTATGCTTTAATTGTAGGACTTGTACATTTTTCTGCTGTCCCCATTGCTGCAGAAAGTAGCTGTTTTTTTAAAAACCAAGCCTATGAAAAATTAAACTTGGGCTATAATCATTAAAACAGTTCAAATAGTTTCACTGGTGACCACACCTAAATGTATCAGTTAGAAAATATTAAGAGTGTCAACTCATAATGTTCATGTTTTATAATATTTAATGACTTCCCTGTGAGATCTGAAGTTTGGCTTTTGGCTAGTTTTATATTAAAAATATGACCAACTAAAACCTTGTGAAACACTATTCAGCACGATTGTAATAAAAGCTGTAATATTTTATAAGTTACTGCAAGTATGTTTTGTTGTACAGGTTCTTGTTTTGGAAACTCATACCGAAGCATTCCAAAACTAGTGTGTGATAGGAAAGATTAAAATGACATGAAGCATGTTGGAACGTAAATAACTTGTTATTACTTTTTCTTACATGATATCTTGCTTTTCTTTGCTTTAAATTCACTTTTTTGTACAAGCTAGTTTATTTAAGTATGTAATCACGTTTTTGGAGCAGTGTTTTAAAACTTTTTTTCATATATTGATTCATTTTGATATATTTGCTTTCCAATTAAATCATGTTTATTGACTTTCTAAGTTCATTTTACTTGTACATAATTACACTATGCTGTAGTGTTTCGTTTAATTTAAATTTGTCATAAGCTTAATATTTGTTGACATGTTTAGGAGAGGTGGAGCTTATCAACTAATAAGTTTTTGTCCAATTTCAGCTTTTCACATTTGATGTGAATTCTAAACAATTCCATTGTTTGCTCTGAGTGTTTTATGTGTGCAGTTGTCCATGTAAATATTTAAATCTGCTATAAAATATGTTTTGTCTAAACCTAATATCTGGAGTTTAGAAAAATTAAGAAGACTAAAAATTACGTCCATGAAAGCAAATTATTAATTTGTTTTACATCTTTGCAGTTGTGTTAAGAGTTGATATATTTTAGAATAGGTTTTTCTCTGAAAAGCAAACAATGTTGTTGTTTCTAGCTAAAGAAAAGTTTGCATTGCTCTTATGAAAGCTTTATACTTGAAGAAACGTGATAAGCATTTTAGTCATATTTTGTGAAACTTTTTTTATCCCATGTGACATAATTTTATTTATGTATCATTTCACCAACTTAGCCTGTTTTAACTATATGTAGAGTGTATTTAAAAGCTTACTCTTGTTTTCAACAAGCATTTAGGTGTGGAACTGTTTACTTTTAAAACATCCAGTGTAGGCAGCAAGGGGACCGAATATAGTTGTTTATAAACTGTATTTATCACGTATCATTATGTAGTTAACTTGGTAGTAGTACTTTGTGTCTTTGGATGGGCGTTTTGAAGATTAATAGATTTTTTCCAGAAATAAAATGTTTTTTTGCCGTTCCAAGAGTTTAACCCCCTCAACCATCAGTAGCAAGATTAAGCCTAGGAGAATGGACACAAGATTTAGTTCTTGATCATTCATTTTAACCAAGTAGAACTGGAGAATCAACCCCATAAAAGGTTTGGATACCAAAATTCAAATCAAGCATGCAGTTTTTATCCATCTTCTGGGGTGAAATAAAAATAAGTATAGTGAAATCAACTAAGTTCTGCTAATTTTGTATATGGTTGATGCTAAATTTGTCAAAGTTTGCAGGGGGGGAAGCCTATGTTCTCATACTCATTTCTGTTAATGTTGACAAGTTGTAGTTCTACACACTTTTGCAATGACTTGAAACAGTAATAATTACTCAGCATCCAGTAAACCTTAATTTTTTTGTATTGAATAGTTCTATGAAAAAAGATCCTGTATATGACATATATAATATTATGCATCATGTGATGGGCTGCTCAGTTAAAGGCAGGGTTAATTGTTGTAGTGCAGAGACCTACCTAGTGTATTCTTTGATTTGTTAGGAAATGCTTGTACAGTTGAATGGAAACTGTAGTGAGGGACCATATTATCAATAAAAAAGTAGTCTCACTTACTGTTTCTTTTTTCTTTTTTTTTGTGGTTGTGTTGTAAGCAAACAAATATTGAGTGATCAACTGATGTATTTTATGAATGAAAAAACATATGGTTCTTATAGGTTTGCATTATATGCTTATTTTTGAATTTTATTTGTATTCTGTCTGAAGTATATAGAAGTAATTAAAATATGAAATAACTAATTTAAATGGGTTATTTTCTATGTTCAGTGGTCATGGATTTTAACCAGTAGTCATTCCATAATCTCAAAAACAAAATTTGAGTGTAATGATATTTATTTAGTTTCTCTGTATTTGTATAACTGACTTAGTACAATAGTTTGTATATATGTACATGTATAATTACATATCGCAAAATACCGAAGAAGAAAAGTCTGAAAAGTTTTCAAGATCTAAAACAAATTTTTTCCATACAATTTATTTTTAACCATAGGTGTTTAAATTATAAAGGTAGCTAGTTCATATCAAATAAAAAAAATATTATTTAGCTGTTGTGCATTGTGTAGTGTAGTTTAAAAACAGTCTAGCTAATAGCATTGCTCTCATTTAATATAACATTATAGTTTCTGAGCTTGGTTTTTCAGTTCTTCTTTAATTGTAAAAATTAGTTTTTATTACATTTTGTTTATAGTTGTGTGGAGTAAAAGATGCTTGACAGCCCAAGCTTTAGTCTTAAAATATTTTTTTTTGTAACTTTTGGATGATAAATACAAATTGAATACTGGAAAGTAGATCTAAAATACAGTTTTACCCATGAGCTATGTTGTTAAGTAGTATGAATAGTTAGGCTACATTATTAGTTTTGTGGTTTATTTCTAGTCTAAAGTTAGGTTAGATGGTATTTAGTACTGTTAAATCTGAGTTTGTATTGTTTTAGCATTGTAGTTTAATAACCATTGATATTAAAAATTAATAGTATCTTGTTTGTAATTGTTTTTGTTTGTTTTTATTAATATTCGGAGAACCTGATGCTACATTAAACATTAAGCTTGCCACTTTTTTTCTTTTGTTGCACATTTATCGTATTTGATTATTAAAGAATCGTTGTTTAGTAAAATATACTCGTGGCAAATCGTATCGATGATGTTTTAACAAACTTTTTGCATGTGTATGATTTTATCTAATTCAGTATTTAAGAGTGCCATCTAGAGTTTGTTATTTTTGTGTCATTTTGATATTGGAGCATGTTTAAAATGCAAACTATTGTTGTGTGTGATATGGTGTGTGCATTTAGAATAACCAGTGCCTTAAATATTCCCATACCATTTAAAAAGTGTACATAAACAGTAGCTGGTGTTTGTAACTTTGAAACCGTAAAGTTGATCTTAAGGATTTGTGTTTGTTTGTGATTGTTTCAAAGATTAGTAGTTATTTTGTAAAAACAGCATAATATACAGAAGAAACAAATGAGTAATATAATTGATTGTAAACATCTCAATTGATTTTGAATGTAAACAATGATGAGTGATATTTTTAATTGTATATTTGAAGAATTGCTAATTCTGAAACAAATGAACATGTTAATGTACGTGTTTGTGTGCGGATGCATGTGTGCCTGAACTATTACTAGTTAACAGTAATTAAAGTGCTCAATTATGCTGCTGTTTAAATCACACAAGATATTTGTTTTCATTTCTGTATTCAAATAAAAAATAGTTGTTATCTGGAGAATTGACTTATTGGGTGCTTAACACCAACACCAGTGTCTTGCCTAATTATACTTTCCTTCAGACATCATTGCATGTATAATATAAATATCTTAATCTGTATATAGAAAACTCAATTTCCTTGTTCCTATGCTCTGTGGTGCTCGATCTCAGTATTGTCATTTCACTTCCATTTATTCTTGGAGATTTCTGATCTCTAAATTAACAGGTTTTCTATATGAGAAATTAAAAAATTATACTTCTAAGAAAGGAGCCTAATATGTTATTTTCTCGGTTGTATTATTAGTGTTGGCTTTTGTTTACTTATCTCAAGGAATTATTGAAATTTCTACATGGCTACGTCTTCCTCATTTCTTAGAGCAATTAAAAACTAAATTAGAGGTGCTGGTTTTTCATAGTCATTGTGATTGCTATGATAAATAACTACCTTACCAATCTCCAAAATGGATAGAATAATATACACTACGTGTTATTAAATGTTTAGAAAATTGGTGCAAGAAATTATTTTACCATATATTCTTAGTATACCAGCATGTTGTAAATTTAGTACCATGCAGATACATTAACACTAAGATGATTCAGCTGAGGTTGTGGATTTTTCTGGTGCATCACGGTAGCTTATATTTGTTGCTAGGAGCAGATAAAGTCTGATTAGATAAAAAGTTCATCAGTTGTAAGGGAGATGTTTCATGTCAATAAGTTAATGGGGTTGATGGGTGGGGTTGGGAGGGGTTGACTGGGAGGTCTCTGCATGAAAAATCATAAGCTTGTTATTGCCCATCACATATCAAGTATTTATTGTAGCTAATATGGAATGGGTGGAATGGCCACTTATTATCAGTAAAAAAAAACTTCATAAACTGAAAAAGAAGTGAAGTTATTCTACAGGTCTTTTCTTTGGCTGTCAAAAGTGAAAACCTAAATATAAGTAACAAACATATTAATAATGGTTTCACCAATGGAAAATCCTTTTTCATAACTTCCTTAGAACTGTAAAAAAATACTTTATATGAACATGTGCATTGTTATTCATATTTGTAATTCCAATTGTTTTTGAAACTATAACTAAATTTGAAGTGTACAAAAATTAGGAAATGTTACCAAACTTAACTTCTTGTGGTCCAGGATGATGTTTAGTATTAAGTGAATTGCTGCATCTGATAGTTATTTGTCACCTGCAGAAGTTCTCGTTAGTGTACCATCCACAGAATCTTTTGAATTGATGCCACAGTTATAATTGTCCATTCATTCCATACTAGCTTTTCAATATCTCTCAGACTGCTCATGGTAACTTTTTTATGTTGATTTTCTGCCATGTGGCAGATTTCATGGTGTAAATGTATTTCAGAGTGTTCAGCTATGTCACATCCTTGACTCGAGGGATGATGGACATTTAAATCCTACCAAAGTCTCACTCACGTTTAAGCTATGGGACTTTGCTAGTATATCCTGTGATGTAATGGCTTCCTTTTTTGTTCTTGTCAAAAGGTAAACAATTTATGGGCCAAATAATTGTTGGCTCTTCCACTAAAGGAAATGTTTTTATTTGTACATAGGCATTTTATGAACAAGATGGAATGGCAAAAAAAAAAATCTTTCTATTTTTATTTTTTTTTGTATTTAATGGTAACTTTTTTTTTTTCAATTGTATTTGTCCTCTGCCTTGAAGTGTTGGAAATTGGCAGAGGCTTGGATTTGTACCAGTGTAATCCCTTTGAAGTTTCCATTAAAAAGTATATACTTAACAAATTTGATGTGGGTTATATTTATTAAAAGTAAACAATCTTTCCAATGTCTTTACTACCATGATAAAACTTTTTATCATTGTTATCTGTGTTACGGTTCAGCTACAAAGAAATGATGCATTTTATATTTGAAGTTAAGGTCATTGAAGTTTGTCACTCATTAAATATTGTAATGTTAAACATTCAAACAATAATTCATTAGCTATTATAAAATAGTGCACAAATTAAAAAAAAGTATTTATCTTAAATAGAGGATGAGTGCAGCTCAGTGTTTAGCATGTTGGATTATGAATCTGAGGATCCATGGTTCATGTACTGTTACTGGCATAAAACAAGCTTTTCTGCACTTTAATGCCATGAGTGCATTACAAAAGTGACAGTCAAATCTCATTATTTGGTTTGACCAGAATAGTCCAAAAGTTAGCAGTGGGTGGCGGGAACTAGCTGCCTTCCCTTTAATCTATCTCTTGAAAATTAGGGAAGCCTATCACAGATATCCCTCATGTAACTTTGTGCAAAATTCAGCGAACAATTCTCTTTGAGAAAAATTCCAATAATATGAGACAAAATATTTTTTTACTTAGTTTTTTTAATATAAAGCAATTTTTGTATTCATATAAAATATTTTCTGATTAATACAAAAATATATTTATTAAAATCCTGGTTTATGGAGTTATAAATTATTTTATGCTAATTATTTCAACAAATTAATTGTATATAATGTGACAAACACAAATACTTAACAGAGAACTGCGACCACCCATACAGAATTAAGTTATCATGCACTGAACGGTCCTCCCACTAGCCTGTATTGCTATATATTTTTGAGCTTTCCATATATCTTGGTGTAAAATAGCTTGTTTTCCTTATAAATCTATAATTGTAAATTTTTCCCATATCTTCTTACCAAACATTTTTTAACGATAAACAATAATATAGTTCATGTACTTGTTCATATGGCAGTTGTTTTTAATTCACAGTTTCACATAATGAGTAGTTATTACTCTTCAGTACAAAATTCACAGTTTTTCTCAATACTTGTTATATTTCTTAGAACATTAAAGTGATTTTAAGCTTACAATCCAGAGCTATGGGGGGGGTGAAGTCGGAAGATGCTGGCTGCATGTGAAGAAAGCATATATGTTGTCTTTCCATAGGATAACAGTTCAGTTGAGGCACATATGAGAGGGGTGTTTGGTTATTTCAAACTAAGGTACTTTCTTAATGAAAGGTTAAACTTGTACCATTGAAGAAAATCTGAGTATGGCCATAAGAAAGAAATTGTTTCAAATTTGATTTGGTTTATGTTACAAAACTGCTTACATATGGTTCTGATTTGAAATAACTTTTGTCAAAAACATCAATTTTGGGTCTGTAATTATTTTGAAAGTTGCTTTTTTATAAATCTTGATTATGGATTTGAAACTACATGTATTTTAAGACTGGTCAAAAGTTTAGCTATTAATACTTTTAAACAACATTTGCACAACATTATAAAGTGAAACGTCTTGAATAATAGCCTAAAAGCATTTAAATATCCTGATATACATTTTTACTGTTTCTCACATTTAGCAATTTCCTTAAACTGAGGGGCAGTTTTGTGTACTCCTTTAACTCATCATCAAGTAATGGGTAAAGAGGTTTATAACATGAGATATGTATGTAACTTTTGTACTTGCAATGACTTTTCAATAACTATGTTTTACTATTTGTTGTAAGTAAAAATTGGCTATATCTTCTATTAAGGCTTATTAAAGAATTTGAAATTAGATAGCCTTTGTTAAAGGTTTTTTGTTTGTTTACAGTTGGAACTAGTGTTTTGTCATTGCAATTATGAATTACATAACACAAGTGTGCTTCAATAATTTTGTAGGTACAGCTTGTCACTAATGAATTCACATGCCACATCATGAGAAGTGTACATATAAAGACATGGTTGAATGAGGAGGATAAATGAACACCATATTGGTATGTGATGTTAAAAAGGGAACATCTTAGAGATCTCTTGCTACAGGAATTTTAAAACAGCACAGCTGATAATCATGTTCTATATTTAGAAACAGCTAATAGTTGTTTTAGACAACCAACCTTAGACAGCAGTATTAAACAGCAGCAAAGATTAATGCCACAAGCAGAATACACCATCCCAGATTTGTGCCCTAATCAAATTATTTACCTCCAAGCAAACCTGGCAACTGTAGTCGGAGAAGAGAGAAGCAGAAGTGCTGTGGGTCAAGAATATTGCCAGCAAGGAGATATAACATAACATTATGTTTAAGGATAACAAGGGATGTATTGGTCCATGTCAGCTGTCCCACCCTTTAAAATAAATTTAAAAAAAATAGATAAAAATCTTAGTCAGTCTTTATCATTAATTTAGTTATAAAGCTTTCTCTTAAACTCTCTTAAATTTACTGCCTCCACAACAACTGAAAGCAATCTATTCAAGTGGCCAACCACCCTGTTAGAAAAATAAAACTGTCTTAGCTGAAGGACACTCCTACCTTGCCAAAATTTATATTTGTGTTCCCTAGACCTACTATTCTCCCCATTAAGTATGAAAAAAAAGATGATGCATCAACACTATCAGTTCTTTTTACAATCTTAAATACCTCAATGAGGTCCTCTCTAACTCTTCTTTTTTCTTTTTTTTAAGAGAAAACAATTTCGGAGATCTTAATCTATTCTCATATGATAACCCTTACATCTCTGGCACTATTATAGTAATCCTCTGACACCTGCCTACTATTCAATGACTTACAAAAAATAGTAGCAAGTGGCTCACATATCCAGTTCTTCAAAACACTTGTTTCATGTTACAATATTTTGTCAGCTTTTCTGTAGGCTGTTCCAAATGTGCCATTACCAACACTTTTGTAATGAAGTAAGCAAAAGTATCATATATACATATAGGACCCCGCCACCTAGCAGAACCACCGATGTCAGAAAGATAAAATAAGATTACCAAAGGATATCTTGTGGTCTTCCATTTTGATCATGCCAAAGGAAAACAAGTATGAGAAGAAAAAAATTCCTAAAGATAGAAATAGATATCCCTCTGATACTTTTTTGTAAGTTATCAACAGATGGCCCAAATGTAAACAAACGCATTTAGAATGAGATCAATGATGCCATAAAGGATGATATTTGTGAAGGCCTTCATATCACACCCTGTAACCTTTATGTCAGTTCATTCAGACGTTGTAGATTTAGATAGAACATAATGTCAAGACCTTACCACAATCTTCGTAGGTTTTACAAAAGATGCCTTACAACATTAAACATTTCTAACAAACTGAACTGATTTTTGACTTTGAACTCAAACCTATTCTTATGAGGTGTGTATATCGGGTATATGCTCCTCTATCAACATTCTACCAGAGTTGTTCAACGCTAAGTTTGGGGGTTGTAATACTACATTTCTTTATTCTATCCATGCAGTGGGCACAGCACAGGTAGCCCATTGTGTTGAACAACAAACAAACTTCTAACTGTGCCATGAGAATATCAATAAAAGTTTTGTGAAAACAACTCAGTAAGGTATCCAAATATCATTCATTTCAAGAACTTTTGTGTGCAGGTAATTTTTTAATTTGTCGTTTTTTTTATAAATAACATGCCCTTCAATTGCCCAATTTTTTAAACAATTGTTTTACATTATTCCCATATTATGCTAGAGTACTCTATATTTAGCTTTATGTTATGCCCAGAAATCTGTGGGAGGCTGCATAAAGAAAATCTTATAATATGGTCTAAATGTACGAAAAATAAAAAATGAAGCGCTATG